ATATGCCTTACACAATTGATGTATGTATGGATTGTGATAAGAGTTGTATGAGCCCCTAATAAAATTATTTAAAAAAAAAAAGAAAGTTGCACATTGAATAAGGAAGACTGAAGAAAAATCAATGCATTTGAATTGTGGTTGTGGAGAAGAATGTTGAACATCCCACAGACTGCTAAAAGGACAAACTTTTCTGTATTGGGAGAAGGAAGGCCAGAGTGCTCCTTAGAGGCAAAGAGACTAGTCTCTGGTGCAGGACATCGTGTTTGGTAAAGTGGAGATCAGGTGAAAAAGAGGACAGCCCTCAAGGGGATGGATTGATACAGTGGCTGCATCAATGGCCTCGAGCACAGGAACTGTTGTGACAATGGCGCAGGACCATGTGGTGTTTTGTTCTGTTGTACATAGGGTCAAGTTGGGTCGGAGCCTACTCGATGGCGTATAACAACAATAACCTGGAGCAATTCTACTTTGTCCTATAGACTCAGTAGATGTAGAAATGAACTTGATGGCAATGACTTTGATTTGTTTTGGTTTTTGTTTAGTGTTTTATAGTATGGATGTACCACAGTCTCTTTATCTATTTTACAATTCATGACTGTTTCCAGCTATTGAGTTTATGAATAAAGCTACTATGAAAAATCAAGTTTTTATGTGGATATCTGTAGATTTGTTTGAGTGGAATTTCTGAGTTATATAGTAAGTGATAGTTAGTGTGCATTTAATGTTCAAAAAATACTCATCTGTTTTCCAAAGTTTCTGTATCATTTTGCATTTCCACCAGCAAAGAGTGTGAGATCCACTTGTTGCACATCCTTAACACTTGATGATGTCTTTTCTTTTGAAAAGACATTTAATTCAGTGAATGGTGACTTTTAAAAGTTGAATGTTCTAATTGCTTTTCTTGTTGCTACTCTGCGGGAATATTACTGATTTTTTGAAAGAATATCCTCTGTGCAGCATCAATGAATCTCTTATTGGTTATGGTAGTTTGACAATTTTCTTTGATTTTCTATGTAGCCTGTCATATAGTCAAAGGATATTTTTTTTTCCAAGGCTTAAATTTAATATTTCTACCATTTATCCTATTGAATTGACAATAATTTCACCAATGCAATGTTAAATAACAGGTATCACTGTTCTGCTTCATGTTTCTGATGAAAGAGCTTCAATGTTTTTCCTGTTAGTGATAATGTGTATCCTCGCATTTTGGTAACTACCCTTTGTCAACTTAAAAGTTCCCTGTATTACTTTTTGCAACCTTTTCATTATGCAAAGTTTATATAACAAATTAGTGTTCCCAATCAATGATTCACACGAAAATTGTTCTGCGACATTTGTTGCACTCCCTGCAATAAGTCAGCCCTCCCCTATTTCTCATTCAGTTCTTTATTTCCATCTGTCCTGTTTCCCTGTCCCTCCCTGTTTCTCTTTGGTTTGGGAGTAAATGTTGCTCTTTTGGTATTTAGTAGTTGATTGTTCTGAGGAACATATTCTTCATGAGTGATTTTGTTGTATAGTCCCATTTTGTGTTAGGCTGGATCATCTAGAGAAGCAAAACCAATAATGCATATATGAGTATGTATATAGAAAGAAATTTATATCAATGTATGGCACACACAGTTAAAAAAGTGGGTTAAGTCTAGTCCAGTTCAAGTCTGTGGCTCAGGCAATGAGCTGGAAATTTCTCCTGATTCCTGTAGCTGCAGAGCCTGATGAATCAAGAAACAGGAAGTTGAAGCAGGAAGACCACAGGCTGGTGGTTGCAGTTCAATGAATCCAAGGTCAGCATTCTCCTGATAGTTTTTGGGATTGGTAGGAAATATGTCGGAGGTCAACAAACTAGATGCAGGATCCAAATCCAGCAGAAGGAAAGCTTTCCCATGAAGTGTCCTTTAAAAGGAATAGATCACACACACACACACACACACACACACAAACACACACCGCCCAATTGCACCAAGGCGTCTCTTCCAATTGTATCAAATCTGTGACTTAATCAAGGAATCTGTACAACGCAGCCAATGACTGCTCACAGAATTGATTGCATTATGTTAGATTCCATTATGGGGGGGTTATTTCCAAACTAATGAGAAATTTGTTCCAGCCATGTTGACACAAATCTTATTTATCACACATTTATTAGTTTGAAGTTGGCCTCCTCCCAGAGTGTCTTCCGTTTTCTCAGGGGTTTTCTCCAGCCTTGTTCCAACCAGTAAGTCTGGAATTTGGGGGGAGGGCTGTGAGCTTTGTTCTACACGTTTGTATCCATTCGAATTGGTTTTGGTCAGAACAGTCAGTAGTGATAGCAAAGCACCATCTAAGTTTGCTGGTCTTATGCTAGCAAAATGCTGTATTTCATAGAGCAACTTAGTTCTTTGAATTAATTCCTTCTTTGTGATTTCATTTGTCTTCATTTTCCTCTGCTCTAGTGTGGAATAGACCAGTACATGTTTCTGGGATGGCCTACAAGGCAGTGAATTATGTTATGGAGCTCTTCTAGTCATATTCTCTGTCACTCCTACCTTGTCCTGATGGGTCTGGGTAAGAGAAGGTCGGGGAAGATACGAAAGGATTCAGTTAAGAGTGCTTTTAACATGAGTCATTGTGAGTCCATCCTGCTGGGTATAAATGAACCGAGTGCAGGGGGTGTGTGTGTCTCACTACCAGAAAAGAGCCAGGAGTGGAATGTGTCCTCTGGGTCACAAGATCCTCTTGCAATGAACTTCTTTGATCCAGAAGACACTGTGACATCAGAGGAGTGGCAGAGGTACAGTAGCAAGATCAGCATAACCAGGAGCCATAAACATGAGATGCAGTAATGGACTTCTCAGTCTACAAAGTAAGTAAAGCTGAGTGCTTTGGGGCAAGAGAATTGCTTGTGGAATGGGTGTCTCTGGGCACTTAATTTGGGAAGCTAGGTTTGCTGACCCATAGGTCTTGAGCTGAGTGCCTTTGGGTTGAGGCTTACAGAGGAGTGGCATGCCCTCTGGAAATTTATTAGTAGCCCTGAAAGAAATCTGCAGCATGTCCTGACTGAACAACTCTATCCTGACTATCTCTCACCTTCATTGTAGCCTATCACCTTCCTTAATAAGCCCTTTAATCATGAATATTGTCTGTGAGTTCTAGGGGGCGATTGCAATGAATTACCCAAACTCAGTAGGCTGGAAAAGTAGGGAATTTGATCTGAGACAGAACATGGCCACATGCAAGCGTTGAAGACCCCAGAAACTACTTGCTAGACTAGTGTGTAGAACATCATGAACTATGTTTTTGCCCATATTGATTTAGTGGTCCCCCGAGGCTATGGTCCGTAGCCTTTAGTTCCAGTGGTTCAGGCACAATGTCTAAGTAGTTTCTAGAACTGAGCCCCCTTCTGCTCTATTATATATGTGTGCATAGACAGTATGTATGCAGCATTTGCAAACATGTAGGTAGAAATATCAACCACCCTCCCTATATATGTATGCAGATGTACTCCTCCCTGACCTATGCCATATATATTTACCAATATATCTACTCACAAATTAGATCCCCTCTCTTTTTGTCTTGTAAATAATTTTCATTTATTTTTATAATAAAAGATTATGGAATTTATTTTTTCTTTGTTTATTGAGATGAACAAGAGTCCCTGGCGGTGTGCTGTGAGTTAAGCGTAGTGGTACTAATCACAAAGTTGGCATGTCCAAGCCACCATGGAAGAAAGATAAGGCTGTCTGCTCCCACTAAGGAATCCTATATAGGGTTACTGTAAATTGGAATTGACTCAATGACAGTGTGGTTTTGGTGTTTGTTTGTTTGTTTTTGTATTAACATTTAAACAGCTTTGTGATTTACAGTTATGTGTTTTCTTACGCTTACACTCTACTTTGATTCCTGCAACAAAGCCCACGTGGTGGTACTGTATTATTTTCATACATTTGCTAAATTCACTGTACTAGTATTTTTATTTAGGATTTTTGCAAATTATATCAAAAGCTTGACTGGTAGAAAATTTTTCAATGCTCTTGCCTGATTTTGATATCAAAGTTTTACTAGCCTTTTAAAATGAGTTGGACTTCCTCCTTTTTTCCCTTTAGTATTTTTTATAATGTAGAGAGTACATGTTCTTTGAAAGTTTGCTTTGGGGGATAAAGAGTTGGTTACCAATTAAATTTCTACAGTGTCTAACAACTAATTCAAGTCTTCAATATCTCCTTGAGTAAAATTTAGTGATTTTGTTCCTTTATATAAATTTTTCTATTTCATCAAAGTTTTCATATTTACTGGAATAAAATAGTTCATAGTATATCATAATTTTAAAATTCTAAAATTTTGAACTATTTATATAATAATGTGTCCATTTTCATTGCTCATAGTATTTATTCAAGTCTGGATTGTTTTCTCTTATTAAATATTAGCCGAGCTTAGCTATTTTGTTTATCTTGATAAAGAATATCTTTTAACTTTATCAGACATTTTAATTTTTTGTTTTCTATTTCATTAATTTCTGTTTTGTTTTCTTTCTTTTACTTTCTTCTTGTTTGATTTATGACTCTTTTCTAACTTCTTCAGTTAAGTGCTAACTTTATCAATATTTACTTATTTTTCCATAAGCAAAGGCGTCTGGTGGTGCTGTGGGTTAGACATTTGGCTGCTAACCACAGGTGGATAGTTCAAACCCACCAGTCCCTCAGTAGGAGGACCATGAGGCTGTCTGCTGCTTTAAAGAAGTACAGTCTCGCAAACCCTAGGATCACATTGAGTCACAGTGGATTTGATGTCAGATTTTATTTTGCCGTAAGCAGTTCCTTACCTATGGATTTGAATATTATCTACATTCTTTTCAATCACATCCACACATTTGAAAAGCTAAAACATAATTCGAGCAAATTATCATACCTCTGAATGCCTCCGTTTTCTTATGTATAAAATGAGGATACGAATTTTTGGCTTGCAGAGCTATTAAGAGGATTTAAACAATAGCTTGTTTCAAATTCCTAGAATAATGCTTCCTTCCCTTACTGCTTTGGGCATCGCCGGTTTCTGGGCACGAGAAGACAGAGGAATGGTGAAGCCTTCTCAAGAACATTCCAAAAGGTTTCCTTTACATCTTTGTTCCTCAAACTGTAGATCATGGGATTGAGCATGGGGGTGATCACTGTATAGAATACAGAAACCATACTGTCCCTGCCCAGTGAGTACTCAGAGGATGGGCGCAGGTAAATGAATATTGTGGTTCCATAGTAAAGGCTGACGGCAGTCAGGTGTGAAGCACAAGTAGAGAACGTCTTGTGTTTTCCCTGGGCTGAAGGGATTCTCATGATAGCAAGGAAGACGCACACATAAGAGACCAGGACAATTGTCAGGGATACAGACACATTAAAGCTACCACAGGCCAAAAGGAGAATCTGGGGGACCCATGTGTTAGAGCAGGAGAGTTTTAAAAGTGGAGGGATATCACAGAAGTAGTGAGTGATGACATGGGAGTGGCAGAAGGTCAGATGAAAGGTTGAACTAGCAAGGAGCACCATGTTCATCAGGCCCACTGCATAACTAGCAGCCACTAGCTGCAAGCAGAGCCTCGGGCACATGATGCTGTGGTACAGCAAAGGGTTACAGACAGCCACATAGCGGTCATAGGCCATGGAGGCTAGGAGGAAGAACTCAGTGACTGCAAAGATCACAAAGCAGCTTGCCTGCGCCACGCAACCAAAGAAAGAGATGGTTTGGGAGCCAGAGAAGAGCCCCATCAGCATCTTTGGGACAGTGACTGAGGAATAACAGACATCCAGAAAAGAGAGATTGCTGAGGAAAAAATACATGGGAGTGTGGAGTCGGTGGCTGATGACAATGAGGGCAAGGAGGCCCAGGTTTCCCAGCACTGTGAGCGCGTAGGCGAACAGAAAGAAGACAGAAAGGATGGGCTGAAGCTGAGGATCATCGGTGAGACCCACGAGGAAGAAGTCATTCGACGTGCTGGCGTTGCCTGTTCCCATTGGGTCACTGCAGGTCTGTAGGAGGAACATGTATGACAATAGTGAGATGCGTGGAACTCGGGTCTTTAAATAGAGACCTGCAGGGGCTACTCTTGGCTACCTAGGACCTGCCACGTTATGTGTGTTCACTACGGCAAACACTCAATCCTGGTTCAACCTTTTCTTGTTACAACACAGCATATTTGCTGAAAGTTTGAAATGCATGGGGATAGCATTTGGAATCAGAAGAACGTGTTTGAATCTCAGCTTTGTCACTTACTACCCCTGTGACCTTGGGCTAGTGTCTTAACTGCTTGGAGTTGTCTCTGTAAACAAGGATAAAACACCTCTCTTGTAAGAGTGGTTGTAAGGAGCAGAGGTGTATGTAAATTGTCTTCCATGCAATGGGAAGAAAATCAGACACGCAGCGAATTCTAGTTTCTTTCCCCCTTCCACAACTTTTCTCTTACCTATCTTTTTCCAGTCCTCAGTTCATAGCTCTCCTGAGCATAAGTCAAGGACACAAATTGTAACTACGAGAGGGTCCTAGAATTGTGCCAGCCCTTTCATTATCACGTGTGTTTAGGCAGCAACAAGGGATGCGTGGAGGAGTAATATCAAACAATATCGTAAAGAAGAGACCCGATTCCTGAATCAATCACATGTGGGTTAGAATCCAACCTTGTCACTTAGTAGCTGAGCAGACTACATAACATTTGAGCTTTAGGTCCCTCATCTGGAATATGAGAGTGTCAGGTATTTCCTACTTCATTAACTTATTGTAAAGATTGATTGAGTTAATTCATGTAAAGCATTTAGCAAAATGTCTGGCACAAAAACATAAGCATATGGCAAATGTTAGCCTAATCTCCTAATCACACAAACACACCTTGTGTGTTCTGCACTTGCCCCCTGCTAAGAATACCTCCCTTACTGAGCTCCTGTTATGAATCATTGTGTCATAATTGTCGAGTTGAGATACTGAAAAGGGTGAGAGCAACCATTTTAGTCCAAAACAGGAGTATTTTCTTTTTTATTTTTGAGGCCACAGTTTATAGGTTTTTTTTAAAAAAAAAAAAAAGATGGAGAAACCCACAATCTGAATACTTAAAAGGAGAAGAAATGCCCACAGATGCCCAGGGATTTAATGGAAACAGCAGAAATTGGCTTTCTCTCCTCTCTCTCTCTCTCTCTCTCTCTCTCTCTCTCTCTCTCTCTCTCTCTCCTAGGAAGTCATTGTCTCTGATTCCTCATCTTTAAGAAGTATGAAATCCTTGTCCTCAGGAAAACACAGAGGACTGTTTCACTCTGCTGAGCATTAGCAACTTTTTATTCTGTTAGGGTTATTTCTACTCTTTTACTTAGGGAGACAATCAATTTCCGACTCTATTTTAATACTTTTTTCTCCTGCTTTGGTGATAAGATAGTGAGGATAAACTATTTCACTGTATGGCGATTTTAGAATCAGTAAAGTTGGGTTTCCAGTCTGATTCCATAACATTTTGGCTTTATAGCTTTAGGAATCAGAGCTCATCTATGAAATGGGGATGATGAGAGTTGCCCTTCTGCTCTCCCAGAATTGTAAAGATCCAGTGAGGGTCTCTAGGAAATGTTTCATAAATCGTGAACATGGGGGAGCTACTTAGAGAGCATACACTGGGATAGCCAAACCAAATTGGAAAATAATTCTATGACAATCTATTATAAGCCTATATAGCATTGTACATATCTAATACTTCCATGACAATATTGCTGCTCCTGATCTTGCTCCTACGTGGGTGGTGCCTTAACACCTTCCAGCCCATCTTACCTCTCAGGCATTCGCCTTCATCTTCCTGGGCGCTCTCAGCCCAGATTCTCGAAAAGAAAACTGGATTTTCCTGTGGCCACCTGAAAAGCAAATGCCTGGTGCCCTTCTGCCTCTCCCGCCCTGGCTGGTGTTATGCTGGAGCCATCCTTTCATAGCCCCTTTGGAAACAGAAGTTCCCATGGTACACAGTTCTGGTTATTAAAATCTAAACAGCATCCCAAATGTAGTCATCAGCAAACAATAACAACACCAAAAATGGAGTCAATCTTTTTACTCCATTTTTTTACTACGACTACTAATTTTTTCTACTACTGAGTAAAAATTTTTGACATTATTTTACTCAATTTTGACTACTGCCATTGAGTAATTTCCAACTCCTAATGACCCTATAAAAGGGTGGGACCATTCCATCAGGTTTCCAAGGCTATACAAGTCAACAGAATCAGACTGCCACCTCTTTCTCTTATGGTAGGGCTTCTGGGTTCACAGCACAAACCTTTGGACTAGCTGATGAGTGCTTTACTCACTGTGCCACCAGGGTGTGTTTAAAAGTATTTTATAGTGAGATTTTACTAAAACTCCTTACAGAAGGCTCATAAGTATTTTATTTTGATCATGCTCAACCTGGAAATAATAAGGATGGTTTCTCTTAATTACTGAGATGATGAAACCCCTCCCCCCACAAAAGTTTGGTAGTTTGACCTGGGGCAGGCCTACATTCATCCATAGGTATACACTAGGTGCTAGGTGTGTGCCAGGCAGTGGGATAGGCACAAAGAATAAAGCAGCAACTAAGACCAAGTTCCTGCTCCATTGGACCTTATAATCTATATGAAGAGAGGGACCACTAGCACGTCCATAAGTGAGCCAAGAAACAAGCTCATAGTCAAGTTGATTGTGACTCATAATAACAGTGTAGGACAGAAGAGCACTTCTCCATATGGTTTTCAAGACTGTAACTTTTATGGGAGCAAACTTCTTTATCTTTCTCCAGAAAGCAACTAGGAGTTTTCCACTGCTGATTTCAGATGAGCCGTTGGGTACTTAACCACCCTGCCTTAAAGAAATAAATGCATGCCTTTAAATAGTAATAATAAAATTATGAAGGAAATAAAACAAGCTAAAGGAGTCCTGATGGCATAGTGAGCTATGTATTCAGATGTTAACCACCAGGTCAGTGATTTGAACCCACCACAGGAGGAAGATGAGACTATCTGATCCCATAAAGATTTTAAGTCTCAGAAATCTAAATAGGCCGTTCTACTCTGTTCCCTTGGGTCATTATGAGCGAAATTGGCTAGGATTGCAGTGAGTTTGGTGTTTTTAATTTAAGCAGATAGGACTTAGGGATTGAGGGAGGACAACAGAGAGTGCCAGGGAAAACCTATAAGAAGGGGACATTATGGTTGAGCTCTAAATGGGGAGGCTCTAACCATGCGAGGATGCAGAGTTTACACAGAAGGTTAATGACAGAATCAAGACTATACCCAGGTCTCCTAAATCTCTACACGGGGCTGTTGTTGCCAATTGGAAGTGTATCCCAAATGGAGGCTGACTAGTGATGACTGACTGATAGATGGGACATTGAAATTCTTATCAATGAACATTCCTGACCTTTTAAGCCACCTTCCTTCTTTCAATGTTTCTGGAAATCACAAGTCTTCATCAGCCACCTTCTTGTATCCAAAAAACTTCAGGCCACCTTTAGAGACCAGGCTTTTTCCAGAGAAGCCCCCAGGAAGGTTTGTGTGCCCCCAAATAATAAAGCCTCTGAAAATACATTCCAAGTTATACTCCCTTCCTCCTCCAGGCTTGGCCGATTCTCTGTAATTGGCAGAGTCATTAATATAGCAGTTTCTGTCTCCTCGGCTTGTCTCTTGAGATGTTGAGAAAAGTAAGCCCAAGAGCTGAGCAGCTGTGACGTCCAAAGTGGCTGGAGCTCTAAGCAGAGCCATCCCTAATGGGATGCTTTCACTGAGTCACACTGAGAGTTTGGGGACCAGTAGTCACCACTGAGGTGTTTTAGGAACAATTGAAAGAATCCAGTTGCCTATGTGCCATATTGCTTTATAAACCTTTTATCTATAAAAAACCAAACAAACCTTCATAGTCATAGTCCCATGGCCACAAATAAAATACCAGTTTGTTTGTTTTGCCAACTAGGAATTAGGTGTGAAATGGTCCACAGAGAAGATGGCAGAAAGAATTTATTTCATATTTTGTGATCTGGTATGCCATCTTGTTTATCCAACATTTATTCTGATTATGGCTATGAACTACTTGCAAACATCAAAGATGATTTAATTAGTTTTTATATGGTCAATAAAGACTCTGATTGCCACTCAATGTTCTAATATAATATTATTGCACCTGGATCATGGGGTGGCCATTTGATTTGCACCATCTTTTTGTATTTCTGATCAAACCCAGTTTGAGTAGTAGAAGTCTTCATTCTATGCATCTGTTTTAATTTTTCCATTCAAGAAATGTTTATAATCCATCATTTATAAACACTGTAAAAAACATTATAATGTATATAATCCTGCCATTGTACTTGAAACTGGAGATACAAACATGAATGACAAATTAGTAGGATCCCCTACATACATTCCATTCCCGCTCTCATCCATACATAAGAGCATGTGTGCACACAAGCATGCAGACGCTCATCCGGAAGGCAAAAGCATCCCCAGTCTTCTTTAGTGCTGACTCATTAGCAGACTTTGTAGAGAATCTCAAGCTATTATGCATTTTAAGGTCTAAATTGATTGGTTTTAAGGCAAGAAAATTGTCTTAAGAGTAGACTTTATATACATCTCTCTGTGGACAGATTCATTTAATTCTGTTGCTGGACTTAACAGAATTCTGTAGCCAATTTAACTAGAGAAATTATTCTTTTATTTCCAAATTAAATGAGTACATTAGGAGATATTTGAACTCGTTTATGAGCTTCTGCTGTGACTTGATGGGCTGACTCCTCAGATTGAAGAACTCTGTCTCCAAATTTAATTATCCGTGGGCATCCCCGCTGCATAGGATAAAATGAGCCAGTTTGTTCAGTGTATCAGCAGCCTTGCTGTAATGGAGGTTATAGGATAACAACGTAAATGCTTACTCATTAACGCCCAGGGATGAATGAGGTAATGTGCCCGTAGACCAAATTGGCATCCAAATGTTTTCATCTACACACCCATATCTCTTCCCGATGTTGTGATATATTAACGGGGGTACCTTTATCTAT